AGTAGTGATAGTGTCAGATAACGTAATTCACGGCCGACCGAGCCACACGGCCGACCGGGCCACCCCATCCAAAATCGCGTCTTTCTACCAACACACTAACTTTACCTACCTGCCATGCCACCAATTCGATCTGAATCTTCGCAGAAATCAGCCAATCAAGAGGGCAAGATATTATTAGCCCTTGATGATATTCAAAATGGCCGCATCAAATCTATCCGCGCAGCAGCTAGCCTATACGCAATACCGCGGTCAACACTGCAAGCGCGCGCTGATGGCCGAATCTCACGCGTTGATAGCCGCCCAATTGGCCATAAACTGACCCAATTGGAAGAGGATTCACTTACTCAATGGATTCTCTCTATGGATTCACGTGGAGCAGCGCCTAGGCCTGCTACTGTACGAGAGATGGCCAATATCCTTCTTGCTGCGCGTGGAATAACCCCTCCGCCTACCGTTGGTATAAATTAGCCATCAAGCTTTGTTAAACGCCGCGATGAACTTCGATCGCGCTTCTCGAGGCGCTACGACTACCAGCGCGTATTAAACGAAGACCCAAAGACCCTCCGAGCCTGGTTTACAACCGTACAAAGCGTGATTAACGAGAACGGTATACAAGCGGAGGATATGTACAACTTTGATGAGACAGGCTTTGCAGTAGGCCTTATATCTTCGCAGAAGGTAGTCACTAGGGCTGAATACTACGGTCGGAGATCAATATTACAGCTAGGCAATCGCGAATAGGTTACTACGATCGAAGCTATATGCGCAGACGGCTATATACTACCGCTATACGTAATCTTTAAGGGCAAAGTGGCTATTGCAGGGTGGTTTGACGAAAACCTACCGAGAGATTAGCGAATCGAGGTCTCTACGAACGGCTGGACTACCGATGAGATTGGCCTACGCTGGCTAGAAAAGCACTTTATCCTACATACCAATTCGCGCGTACGCGGTCGGTTTCGGCTACTAATTCTTGACGGCTGTAGTAGCCACCTTACATCCCTATTCGACCGTATATACGCAGAAAACTATATTATACCACTTTGTATGCCTTCTTATTCATCATATCTACTACAACCACTAGATGTTGGCTGCTTTGCTCTATTGAAGAAGGCGTACGGCCGTTTCGTTAGCGATCTTGCGCGCCGAGGATACAACCACATCGATAAACACGATTTCTTGATAGACTACCAACGGGCGCGGCCAGAAGCCTTCTAATCAGTCACTATACAGAATAGCTTTATAGCTAGTGGCCTACTACTAGTAGACGCAGAGAGAGTGCTTAATAAGCTTAATATTTCTCTGCGTACTCCGTCACCACTAAGCAGCCGGCCAAGCAGCAGATCTAGCGAATTCGTCCCAGAAACTCCTAAGACCGTGGCTCAGCTACACAAGCAATCTAGTATGATGAGGCGTCTACTAGATCGGCGGTCAAAAACCCCTCCAAGCCTATTAAAAATAGTGGTAGATCGGGTTATCAAGGGCCACTACCTAACGCTGCACACTCTCGCATTGCTTATGCAGGATAATGCGAATTTACGTATGGCCAATGAGAAGATCGTCAAGAAGCGTACTCGATCAACTAAGCACCTACCCTGCGAAGAGGGTTTGACTATTGAAGAGGCCCTATAGCTAGCTGCGCAGCTAGATTTGCCGGTGGAACAAGATGAGGTGGAATCGTATGCGGATGTCGAATTGCCTAGTCAGCCCACTAGGCCAGCAGCTAGGGCTCCGCCTAGGTGTAGTGGGTGTAGGGAGATTGGCCACAGGATCAATACATGTAAAAATCGCTATATCTAGTTGAATTAATGGGCGTTTGTTGGGATAACCGGTTTTGAAGTATTCTAATGTGGTAGGGTGGCCCGGTCGGCCGTGTGGCTCGGTCGGCCATGAATTACGTTATAGGGCAAGATGCCTAAGCCGTTAGGTAGTATATTAAGCTAGATTCATAAGGCCTATACAAGAATCATTCTATAAGCAGAACGATGTTCTGAATATCTATAAGCTTTATGCTATACCACGGTCATTATTATCTGTCGGCATATGTGGGCCGAAGGCCCAGATTGCCATTTTGAATCCTGCCTGCTTACTAAGAAATCTTCCTACTTTTACCGCGGAGAAAACCTTATCTTGTTTACCCCTCTTTGATCTATCAATTTGATCTTCAACGATCTCGTTAACATTGCCTATCTGACCTGGAGAACGCACAATACTCCAAAATGACCTCGGATGTTCTTGATTTCTCCCCGTGATATTTGCTGTGTACCTCATGTTATAAATACTGCCTTATTTACTATCTAAATTGAACAAGTTTGACATCTTTTTTATCTCAGGAAGAATTACCGGGCATAGTAGATGTTGGCAAAAGCGATGCGTCTGGTGCATTAAACCGTCGAAGAACAATCGTTCGTGCGCACTAGCCAAAGTGCCACGATTATAGAAGAAAGACGAATCAGGATAGAACATAATCGGCTGATCAGACAGAAGAATCAAGCAGTAGAAGGTTGATTCAGATGGTCTACTATGCCGGGTAATTCTACCTGAGATAAAAGAGATGTCAAACTTGTCCATTCTAACTAGGAAACAGAGTGCAATTTATAACATAGGGTACATAGCAAATATCACATCAGGAAATCAAAAACATTCGAGGTCATTTTGGAGTGTTGCGTAGTCTCCTGCCTAGATAGGCCATGTTGATGCGATCGTTGAAGATCAATCTGATATATCAGAGAGCGGTAAACAAGATGGTGTTTCTCAGTAGGCGGGATAAGCGGGGTAAGCAGGAAGGTTTATGCAATATGATCCTCCGGGATCTAACATACAAGAGTAGGAAGCTGACGTAAGATCTTATGGGCACGCATACTTATATTCTGAGAGTAGACCATCCGAATCAACCTTCTACTACTTGATTCTTCTGTCTAATTAGCCGATTGTGTTCTGTCCTGATTCGTCTCTCTTCTATAATCGTGGCACTAAGATTAGTGCGCACGAACGATTTCTACCAAGGTTTTATGCATATACGCATTTACAACAAGTATTAATTAGAACAGAAACTATTTCTTAACGCTTCTTAAATCTACTTCCTACTATACTATTTTATATATAGTCTCCTTTACTCGAGCAGGGTAAACAAGAGAGATCAATATAGGGGTAGGACGCCTAAGCTAAAGGATCCTCGCTATGTTAACGCGTCCTGCATACGGGGTAACCCTCTAGCTAAGCCACCACCGAAAGGTTATCGGTTAACCGCCGAATGCTCATCGCTCAGGCGGGCCCTAGGAGGCCTTAGGCAGGAATGTGGGAATAGCTTCATGGAGTGAAATATTATAACAAGGAGGCTCTACGTATTCAGGAAGAGACCATCTTACCTATATTCGTGGATCTCCTCCGTAACCATACCCACACAGCCGACGCCCAGTTCGCCGGCCGTGTAGCACGGCGGATAGTATGAGCAAAATAATGTAAACAGTTTGGGGCTATTGAAAATGTGTTATTACGGAACTGACAGCATGACGTTTCCACCTTTCCTTCTGAGATACCCAAGTAGCGTGTGCGGTTAAATCTGAATCACCCTCCGCGACCCAATGAGGTTATTGTTGTGTCGGCATATATCTGACTTGTGACCATTCTGACGTCTTGGTTGCCATCCACAAAAACCCTTGGGGATAAGCCCGTAGACCAAATGCACCGACAAGTCACAGTAGCACTGTCTTAAACAGAGGCGGATGATGGAAGCTACTTCAATAGCGCGCAGTACCTTTCTGTTCAGCATGAGTACTGCTTTAAGAACCCGTTACTAATCCAGGCCATGCAGGACGTGTCCTCGGACTATCCCGAGGTCACGAGCCTTTGGCTTTCTTGCAAGCCGAAAATAATTTCGGAATGCACAGGGGAAGTGTGTACTAATCGATGGTAATTTTATGGAAGTGGTTGGTTGGTTACCTAAGGAAAGACAAGATCAGTAGACAAAAACCTTGTGTGCCCTTGGAACCCAAATACTGCTGTTGCACGATATGTTGAGGAATCAGCCTTGGTTACCGCCGTGACAAGGTACCTCTCGGTATGCCGTTGGAGGATGGATCCATATTGATTTCTGAATGAAAGATAGCTGTATTCATTGAGGTTATAAAATACCCGCCTATTCACGGTGTTTATTTGAATCTTTGTCGAACGCCCCTTTCATCCAGCTATTAGTCTGAACTGATGGGAGGCGGTGATGTTTCGGAGTAATTTATTTAGCTTCTGCTGGCCAACTTTAGTCAAACCTACCATAGTGGCGTAGCTTTTATAACGCCCTAGTTTTGTGATTGTGCAATCTTTCGGATATATGATCTGATTAGGCTAATCCTCCGAAAAGCTACGACCAAACAGTACAGCGACTACGCTTAGGCTGTAGCAAACGTTTGAGATCCACCCGCTACGCTGCCCCTTTCACTGGTCCAAACTTTTGTGTAGTCACTATACCTAAAGCGTTTAGGCTGCCTTTTGAAAATCTTTCCTCAATTATTAAAAATAAATTTCAGTCAGAACCGGCTTTTTTGCTATATTAATGAATATACTGAAAGCGCTGCTTGGCTAATGTCTGTGAATATTTAATCCGGAAGAGTGTTATGTCATCAAGGCTGTGTGGTTCAAGGGGTGCTCTCAGTTTCGAAGTCATTAAATGTTTGGTGTAATAATTAGGCGGCGAGGGAAATAAGGTTTGACAGATCATCTGCGTCTTTCCAGAGAGTCTCACGTAGATTAATATCTTCAGGCGTACTCCGTAGTCAGCCGGAGGATTGCCGAACGGTTAATTCAAGGTCGGGCTTGGGCCGTCTATATATCAAGCTTCTGCACCCAGGAAGCATGAATCTTGTGGAGGGATTAGGTACACTCTTCGGTTATTGAGCTTACCATTGACATTCTTTGGTTTGTCTTTCATCTGTTCTTTTCTTGAAAACTTCCGTTTTTCTTTTCTTTTCTTATTTTACCAATCGTTGTACCTTCATTCAAGCAACATGAAAGCTCTCAAATTTTTGCTACCCTTACTCCCTTTGGTGTCCAGCTTCAGCCACCCCGGGTTAGTGGTCGCTGAATCCGATCTAACCCGGCTCCGGGGGAAACTCTCAGCGGAATTGGACCCATGGCAAGCTTGCTGGAACAAGCTTGTCTCTATGCCCCCTGCCAACATTCCTTACACCCCCCAGGCTGTGAGCTCTGTCGATCGCGACAACGAAGCCAACGCCGATCTGTTATGGCAAGATGCTGCTGCTGCCTTCACGCTAGCCCTTCGCTGGAGGGTTGAGGGGAACACCTCGTATGCTGATGCAGCAACAGCTATTCTGACTTCCTGGAGCGAGAAGCTTATTTCCATCGGGACTAATGACGATCAATACCTTGTAGCAGGACTGCAAGGCCACCAGTTAGCAAATGCGGGTGAGCTTTTGCGGGACTATATCCCCTTCCGAGAGAATGGACTAGATAAGTTTCGGACGATGATGGTTCATGTTTTTCTGGCAAAAAACATTTACTTTCTTGAGCATCGCGACGGGTCGGAGCATAATGTCAAGCACTTTTTCGCTAATTGGGAGCTCGCGCAGGTAGCCTCTATCCTGGCGATTGGGGTCCTTACCGATAATACGACTACATGGAATTTTGCTGTTGACTATTTCAAGAACGGGACTGGAAACGGTGCGATTAATAACGCCATAACAAATATTGTCCAAGAACCGGGCACTGGCAATCCCCTCGGCCAAGGGCAAGAAGAGGGCCGTGATCAAGGTCATTCTGCCCTAGACTTCGCTCTGCTAGGGGTTATCGGACAACAGGCGTGGAATCAAGGTGAAGACTTATTTGCGTACAATAACAGCCGCATTCTCCTTGGGTTAGTCTACCCTATTTCCATTAATGTGATAATATTTTTCTCACCCACACACAGGGCCGAGTACTTTGCTCGGTACAACCTGGGATATGACGTCCCCTTTGAGCCCTACACAAACGGGATAGTCAGCTATACTGAAATCAGCCATGCTTCCCGTGGGGATGTCCGATGGGCATGGGAAGTGCTCTACAACCACTACGTGATGATCAAAGGACAAAAAGCACCCTGGACGACACAATACCTAAACAAGACATATGAAACCTTTGGTGGATTCGAACCCGGCTCTGGATCTTCCGGGTCTCCTAGAGTCTCTGGAAATTACGATACACTGGGATGGGGTACGCTTTTGTATCATTTAAACGAATCAGATGTGACTTTGATTCGTGACTCGTCGACGACGGGCTCTGCGATTCACAGATCGTCAACTCCTGCGACTTCACTGGTAAAAATTCAAGAAGCCACCACGTCCATCCCTGTTAATTCGGATTTCCTACTTGTATCGGCCACCGCGGTGCCAGCGTCAACTGGAAAACCTTATTCAAAGGAACACCACCATGGTCACCACCACCACAACCACCACAACCACCACGACTATAATAGTGTCTCGCAGGGGCCTGGTTCTTGTCCCTCTTTGCCTAAGAACCAATAGAGCAGGATTAGGACTTCAAAGATGACAGTTTGATATGATCGACAAGGCGAAACCCAAGATTGACGGGTGCGTGTATTTACTCAATTCTGGGACTATGAACTGCCCTCAAGTTGCCTTAGCCCAATCTATTAAACCTTTCATATCGGCATATTTCGGGCCACAAATTCATAATAATGTAGCTTCGCTACCAGTATTACATGTCACTAAAAACCATGTGTTCACATCCGACATCCAACTCTTGGTTTAGGGCTAAAACAGGGCGCGTGAGATTAGGCCTCCGAACGAAAAGTCCTCGACAAGGAAAAGTTGCCTTGACTGGCGAAGGTATAAAGGAGAGTAAGACCGTGTGTGTGAAGAGGATCAGCAGGATCTTCTTGCCACCCGGGCAGAGCATCGAATGCACCGCTTAACAACCTGTCTGGGTGATCTGCGGTGTGACCACTGGCCGCGCCTCTCCTTAGCTGGAGAAGGGTAAAATGTTCTCTCCTGTCCAGCACCTGTACCAGGCTCCATCACTGTGGCCTGGGTCGGGTAAAGCAACGCGTCGAAGGCGTCCGTATACCGGCTAGATGGAATTTATCAGTCATACGAGTTGGCTCCTGCAATTATGGTCGTTGCGTGGAATTCAACGAGTGCTACTGAAGTAACTGGATTTGCTCTATGAACTGGCTCGATCTTACTGGCGCGTATACAATATTTAATGCTAGAACTCGAATTCTATATCCTCTCTTTATTGTGCATGAGAGTACACCGGGTTGTTGACCCTTTTTAAATATATTTATGTGCTTACGCATGCTACCCTCGATATCTGCAAATTGGATACGTGTGATGCCAATGTACTTCCGTAACTCCAGCTCCTCGGGGAACTCCCAGGATCTCCGGGGCTCCTAGAGTCCACAAAGGTGATGTGCTGATTGATTGATTGATTGATTGATTGATTGATTGATTGATTGATTGATTTTGATTGATTTATTCATAGACTGTCCTAGCCGCCTAATAAATAGCAGCTATGCATTGTACGTCTATATGATGACTGTTCTGTGTCCCTGTACTTGTCAGGCCTTTCCTGGCCCTTTTCTACTTCTATGTACCAAAAATCACTCGTCTTCTCTATGTTTATTTAAGTACCGCGGACGGTGCTGCTTGGAATTGTCCTAGTAACCTAGTCCTCAAGATCATCTTGGCTGCTGGTACTGCCATACAGAGCACACGCTTGATATCAATACATGGAGACTTACCTTCCCATAGGCGGATGTCGTTCTTCTACCTAGTTTTGGCCTTCAAGCAGGATGTATCGCGCCGTCTATGGTTTATAGCTATACTAATATTAGTCTATATCGGCCTTGTTGATGGCGTAGAGGTAGTTCCGTAGGCCGATCTTATTATATATTTATCTAAGGCTCTGCGATCAATATTGTCTCGCAAATTGCACCTAATCAAATGGGACTTGATGTCCGCGGTCGGCTAGTCAACAGCCCACAAAACCTAGCTGGTTGCGTTTGCGGTTGGTATGTCTACTACTCGAGTGTCTGTTACTAAGTATACGCGGAGGTGCCGTTTCGATGCGGCTCTACTGTTACAGTATCTGATAAAAGTGGCTTCTGCAAGTCCCCTACACCAAAACACATCGTCCAGGCGGTGGAGATCAATGTCATGTGCAGACTTTGTCGATTTCTAGTGTTTTAAATTGGTGACACTCTGCCAAGTTTGAGAAAACGTACTAAAACGTGATCTTAGCTATTAGTTCTTCATTGGAAACCCTCGAACTGATGTTTGGGAATTCTTTGTTGCTGTAGTTAAGGGGCATGGTTGATATACCGCCGCATTGTCGGTATCGGAGGAATAGGAAGGGATTTGGGAGGCCAGAGGGCAGGGTTGCTTGTCCTTAGTGTAGTGGGAATATCGTCATCTTACTGAAATGGAACTATTCATGCGCCCAATAGCCCCTGTATGTTTGCTCATTATATGTTGAATACCATCTCCTAACATCCCCACGTCAAGCCACAAAGTCGTGAGCCTGATGGATTTTCCACTGGATGGAAAGGATCTGAATTCCCTTGGAGAGCCTCTGTAGCCCTTCTCACAACGGCACCTATTAGCATCATAACAGTAGGACTCTACTAATTTAAAATACCGCGTTGACTCCTCCTTACTAGATATTAAACCTGCTTTGCTATGTGAAATTATCACTTTGTAGGCTGTGTATGACGTCCTCGTTGATTAAGGGATCTAGAAACCCGTAAGAAACAGTGTCTGTTTTGAATTCGACTGGGTGCTTTTCTTCTGCTTTACTGACATGCCTTCCACCCTGCAAGTATATAGGCTCTTAAAAGCATTCACCTTTACGCACATAAGTCAACGATCTCGGTATGAAACAAGAGAGCCATAACATCAGACACGAGGACACTTTTTTGCTTTATTTCTGTTCAAATGCACTACCTTTTTGGTACAACGAAAACTCCCCTGAAACCACTGAGGCTCCTATGATCCGACACCTGAGTATTAGGCAATCAATCCTATCACGAAATACAATTTTCATTCTCTGATATATCCTGGTGCATGGAGTCTAGATATGGTCTCCGATTGATTCACCATCGTTCTCCAATTGACATTTATACTCGTGTAAGAATTCGCGGCCCCGTTTGTGCAAACCTCAAAGCGATAAACGCGACGGATGCGGTGATGAGGCAACAAGCTGTAAATAGTTGGACTCCAAGATAAGTTTTAGTGTCATTGATAATTGCACCACCAATCGGTGTGCCAATCAATGCACCGATCGAAGCAACTGCGAATGACATACCCAACCTTGTTCCCACATGTCGATCATCCTCTGCCAAAGCAGACAGAACCAATGGCGGAAGAGCCATAAAGCCACCTGATGCACACCCATATAATATACCCAAGACGATTATCCCAGGTGCGTTATGAGTTCCGATCCAAGCAAAGGCCATGAGAGTTGTAATAGTGGACACCGGGGCGATCACATTCAATGGCCCAATATGATCGGCAATAAGGTTGGGGATGACTCGACCAAATGCTGATCCCGCATTCAGCATGGAAAGAAGGTATAGCCCTAGCTCGTGCCCGACAATTCCTGTATCAGTGGCATATGACTGAACGTAGAAAAAAAAGTTGTAAAATGATAGATAGCCCATGAATAAGGCAAAGCAAAATACAAGATATTTCGGTTCCTTGAAGGCAGAAAACTGGACCAGTCTCCTTCTATCACTTGGAGTAAATCGCACACGCATGATACTTTGGGAAATACAACATGTTCCAAAAGCGATAAATCCCAATGAACGAGCCGACCAACGGAACCCAATATTCTCTTGGAGTCGCTCGAAAATAATTGGGTAGAGGACTGCACCAACACTGCTTCCGGCAGATACAATTCCTATAGCCAATCCTCTCTTTTCGATGAAATATTGAGGAAGGATTGCGATAGCTGGAACGAATAAGGTACCAGCTCCCAGCCCAACACAAAAGCCTTGTGCTAGAATGAAATGCCAGAATTTCGACGAAATACTCGTCATGAATAACCCTAATGGTACCATGAAGGTTCCCACAGTAATGAGCGCTCGAAAGTAGCCGGCATCGAATAGTGGGCCCGTTACAGCTCCAGTAAACATGATAAGGAAGACCTGTAGGGACCCAATCCAAGAAATAGATGACGGTGATTGGTCTGATAGCAGACTTCTCTCATAGAAAGTTTGAAAAGAACCCCATGTGTTGATCAAACCCCTGACAAGGATGGATTAGGTTGCAGCTCTCAAGGCCTTTTATCAATCGAGGCTTACCATGAGTTGAAGAATAAGATAAAAGATCCTGAAACTTGGAGCCATGATATGCGATTGTCTGCAGCAAGAGAGACTTCAATGATTTGCCTTGGAGCGCCGTTTGGTTCCTCCGATGTATTGCCTTGGGAGGCATCGTCCTCAGTAACACGAATGAGTGCATCATTCTTATCATAACGAGAGATCGTACGCATTTCGCACCATGGGTTATTTTGGATCCGGGTGATCTTAAGGTGGAAAAACTTATCCTCGAGGAAGGGAAGGCCCGGCCGGGGGGGGAGGGAGGGATCTGCCCGCAATAAACCGAATTGTTCACACCGGAGGGTATGATAAAGGACACAAAGAGCTAAACTTCAGGGCTTCATTTTATTATAAGTAGCGCGAAGGAGAATACCGAAAGGCACCAATACAGTAAGTTGTGGACCCGCAATCCGTGGCGAAGCCCCGCAGACGGCCGGCTTTTGCAGACTTTTCCATTGTTTTGGTGTCTGTCCGTCGTCTATTATGGCGGCGGAGAGTACCTTAGAATGAAAGTTTGATGGTTTGATGATCATGAACTGTGTCAACTATGGCTGTGTGAAAATATTTATTTTTGCCTGGTCGATAAGCGACATTCGCAGCAGAACAGGCTTGGGTTGGGAATGTTTGCTTCCGATGGGATGTCTAAGCCTCCGTATATTAAATAAATTGCAATTTTCGACTTTGCCTGTCGATTGATATACCATGAGCTTGGCTTATCGTCCACATCAAAGTCTAGCATCTAAAGGTTTGTTCGATCAACATCAAATCCCGATACTGATACTGAACCAGACGCCGAATCAAATACCGAACCGGAAATTAAATCAAACACCGAACCCGACACCAACCAGTTTTATAATGCCGTGAAATTTTCCCAGCTTGCTTAGATGAGAGTCAATACAAGTACTAAGTCACCCAAGTAGCGGTTCTTATGGTTTTCAAACGATTTATGGTTTACTATTTTAGATGGGGAAAAGGGAGCTTGACACCGAAGCCCTAGTTGCCCGTTTGGCTGAAATATTAAGTTGATTTGCCATCGATTTGATTCCTTATACAGACGTTTTATTATCTATTTCTAAGAGAAATACTTTCTATTCCGATCTGTACTAGCCTCGAATCACAAAAGCTACCCAAAAACCTCTTAGCTAGCAGAACGATATTGAATTCCGCGCTGAAAAGTCAGGGCTCGAGAAAAACTACTCAAAATCTCATAATGAAATGAAAGGAGGGAAGCACCTGTATTTTTATATATTATCCCTCCAGGTCTCTGGGGTTTCAAGTCATACAAGGCCCTTCGTAACGTGATAAGCGTCCCCTCGTAACGTTGTTCCTGCTGAATGATCCGGGTTGATTGGTTATCAATGTTTCTTCCCCGTGTTAGCGTGTGAGCCTGAGAGTTTCGTAACACGAATACGGTAATATCGAGAAGTCGTTGCCTGTATAAGGTTATATGCCTATGGTTAGTACGAAAATAATGTTCAGCCCATTTGGGCTCCTAGAAATGCGGGTTACTTTGGTGGCAAGGATGTGATAGCTTGGTTGTTCGAAAGGCAGGCTGGACCGATAGGGGGAGGTAAAGGAGGATTGTTCTCTGCAATAGCGTATAGGAGATGCTTATTTCGCACGTTAGTCTTCTAATTTGCCCGGGCGAATGGTTATTACATGGTGCCTTATTTATAGTTTGGGGAGAATGTGAACACGTCCCGCAAATGTCGGATAATGCACCAAAGCGATGTGGTCGGGCGAAGGATGGGTTCTCAGCCTCCCGCTAGGCGCTTTCGGAGCCCGAGACCTGATCTTGATTTTATCCTTCCTATTCAATCAAGGAAGAAGATCAATCTATCTTATTCAATCTTCTTCTTCCTAACTACCTGCGCAGCACACAGGCTTGCTCACAATTCTAAGTCTCTAAAAAATCTTTATACGCTACCTACTACTCCAGCAGCCAGCTACTACCACTAGCTATCGATCCAATCCAATCAGAACGGCCAGCAGCCAATCAGCTTACTTGCTTACCATCCCTTCCTATTCGCTCATGCCTGCTCATAGGGGTCATAAGAGCTATATACTTATATAAGGGAAGAGCCTATTCTAATATATTATATAATAATAGATAGTGAAGAGATCTTATATATTCCTTTATCTGCGCGGTTCGATGTCGTCTTCCATAGTTGTACTTACTCTCTGTGGTTGCGTCCTGGGAAGAGGAGAATTTGCAAGGGAGGTTAAGAACTCGAAAATACTCCTGAGTAACGCCACTCGTCGTTGAAGGTGAAATTACTCCGATCTGCCAGGGTCTCCCAATGGCGCCACTTCCTCGAGCTTTACCGTTATGGAGGACAAAGTGGCATCATCCACGTGACCGCAGACCAGACTAAACTGGAACTAAGCCTAAAGGAAACTACACTTTCGGACCGCCACGACAGACAACAAAATAATGTTTGCTAACCTATAGGGCAAAGGCCATCGGAAGATGCACGAGCGGCGCCACTACTTAGAGGTGGTGCCACTCGTTATTTCCTTTGAGCCATAACTGACGGATAATTAAGTCTATTACTACCGTAATACTTAGGACCCTGTCGGCTGTCTCCACAGCTTTGCCCACGGACGTTGTGTTGCATGGACTAGAGTACGTTCCTACTTATCCGGCAGAAAGACAATTATATGCCGTCTTTTTCCTTTTGGGGGGGTGAGGTCTAGCCACGAGTCTACTTGATCCTTTCCCGGGCTATGAATGTTAGGCCTAGCACAGTAAATGATTGCAGCATCTCATAGCATCTATACCTCAGGCCGCACGTCGACGACGTGCGGGGTATGTTACATTGTACGTTTATCGCTTCAACCGGCCACAAGTCAGACCTGAGCCTCATTAAGGAGACGTTAAAATCTATGCTTCATAGTATCTCGACACTATAATTCAGCAACGCCGAAATGACTCCAGTATGAAATTTCTGTAAAATTAGGGAGCTTCCGTGTTCCTTATATATGTCTCTGATATGGTTCTGGTGTTGAAACCAGGATATAAACGACAGGCGAGCAACCTTCTATTCCTACAATGAGGTACTGTAATATATCATGATGACCATAGTGTTATACAGTGATTCAGAAGAAGTTGACGATTTTTTATCTGTCTGGACTCTAACATGTCCTTATATTTTTTGGCGTTGCCCGTACTTGATTACAGTAAATTAGCGAAAAGCTGAGTATTCGTTCCGATGAGGTACAGTACAACAGACCATTTACACAAGGCCAAGTCCAATGAATTTCCAATCAATTTGTTTCTTCGCGTAGACAGCACAGGCATTATTTCCGATGTAACGGCTTTGTTCCTGATATGCTCTTGCCTTGTACCACAGTAGTTCCAGGTGTATTTCAACTATGGCATTTTGAAGTTGGTGTCTTCGCCACTAAGAATTCCGACATAATAGATGACCAGGACAATATCCGTCACGCGATAAGGGGCCTTAATAGATACCAGGCGCGTCAAGAGTATAATTAGGGCGCTCGAAGAGAGTACCAATTAAATAATCGATATTCTTGAGCAATTTGAGACCCTCTTTTAGAGCCAAAACTTTAAATATTACATTCCTTTTATCATTCTCCCTCCCATTTCTGAACTAACTCGATAAACAAGTATGGAAGAGCCGTTCGGACACTACGTTTTGGCTCATTTAAGGATACATACTGTAATACACATCCGGTGCGAAGTGAGAGTCTCGGTCCCAGGATCACTTCACTAAATATCTGGATACAGAAAACTGGCCACTGGGTCAACCGCGTACCGGGTGAACAAAAGTACTGAAAAGATACTAAGCATTTGATGCCTATATGTCTTGTTTCGCCCCGCGACATTATCGTGGATTCTTTGGACTTTGTGTCAGAGCGTCGGGGATACTGAATAGCTCATCCCCGTGGGAAGTCCGATGCTGACAAAGATACTGTATTAATTTCGGCTTCTGAGGTTTCAAGGTGTACCGCCAAAATTTTGCAAAGTGCTAGATGGACCAGCTACAAGTTTTACTGAGTGGGTGAAGGAGAATAAGAGCCTATTTAGCACTGACATCAGAGCTGCATCGGGGCTGGTTTTGGAACATGAGCTTTTCAGAGAGGGAATGGTTGAATTCGAAGATACTATGGGTCGATTGCACCGCTTTGTTGAATATTATGAGCAAGGAGTTGAGTTTGGGGAAGCCAGGTTCGTCAAGCAATTGAGGACAACGCTATCTCGGCCCTCATAGTCTGTGACGATCGTCAGCAGGATTGATGCCTAGTTCCTAAGGCATCTATCTACTAACTATTTCGATAGCTCTCTCGCCGTTCTGCCTTCTTTCCTTCTTTCCTTCTCTTATGCTTAGTTGTTTTGGTCAAATGCTACCATGTTGATTGATCAATATCTCTCTCGTGCCTGAGCGTAACATAGTCAGCCATATTGGAGAATCTTGCAGATATAATTTGCACAAACCGACTGAAAATAAAACACAGCCAGGCTTTCTATTCTTCGGTATCAGCCAGTCACAATGCTAGAGCAAAAGCTGAGGCCACCGCCATAACTAAAACCAGGCTCTGGAAACCTAGCGGCTGTCCTCCGAATGGAAGCGGTGTAGTGTCTCCCACACGACTGGTGGCACAACTGGTGAGGTGACTATTTATCCGAAGTCTATCTAGGTGACAGCCCGCGATTTCTATGTGGTTGAGCACTTGGCGAGCCCCTTCCATGATGTCGTTCATCGATCTTGGTGGGTGGCCCGGTGCCGTGATGTTTGGTGTTCCTCTCCACTCTGGGTGCGACTTTTGAGCATTCGCGCAAGTCGCAATCATCGCTGCCATCCTACCTATAAATTAACTGAGAGACGGTAGCGCTTGTAGTTACGATTAAGATGAACTATTTCCTGAGTCTGTAACACCTCTTACAGACTGGGATTAAAACACGATATGAATCTGAATTAGGTGAGAAAATTATTGCAGTACATGACCACTGACGCAAAGTATTTGGATCTGGATCCTCTACCCCTAGATGTATAATTCCACAAGCGATTGAAGATTCGCATAGGAAGCAAATACATCTAATTACCAGTTCCCACTCCCGTGGGTACCCCAACCCCCGGTCGAGGTAGCTGTCTGAGTGCGGGTAGTGGTGACACTGACGGTGTCAGTAGTGGTGACACTGATGGTGTCAGTAGTGGTGACAGCATCCGTGGTAGTGACGGTAACTGTAGCGGTGATGGTGTCCGTAGTGGTGACGGGATTCTTGGTGGTGACGGTAGCCGTACCAGTTGATGTACACCGGGAGCTAGGGGTCTTTAGCGAACGCGAATCTTGGATATATGAATAAGTGTGTGAAGACTAACGTAGAGGTCCATCTGCCATTGTTGTCAAGCAACCCAGGCAGTGCAGTGACATGGGCACAGATAGTTAGAAGGGTGAGGAGAGAGAATTGCATCTTGAGAGGTATTTCGTTCAAGTTGGAAGTATGTAGAATCGTATGTGTGGGTTCAACGTGTTTTTTGTCTTTATGGAGATAGGTTATCCGTATGTGAGGGTAGGTCCTTATATAGCCTGCTCGTGGTAAGTACTTTAGTACTGGGCTATAATGATTTGGATATTTGTCTAGATGCTTCATGGTTACTAGGGCAGCAAAGGTGCATGCATTATAGGAAAGGAATGTGAGTACGAAGCTTTCCCACCCTTCATATTAAGGGATTCTAACTCCTTGACGCCACAAATAAAGTCTCCGTTAATATCCTTCGAAACATCCTATATTATTGGTGGCCCTGGAGTGCCGGTCGCTTATTATGTGTCGCATTGATGTTCTGAGCTGTTGGTGGCGTCGTTGAATTGCGATGTCGATACGTTGAGCCATGAATCATTCAACTGTCTCTGTCCCAGGGCCCAGCGTGTCATCATCACTCTCGAAACCGTAAACGGTTGTCGGGCAGGACAAATGGAGTGACCCAAGTGCCATTTCCCATCGCGGGGCGTACATGAGTGGGTGGGGGGGCACAAATACTGGGGCTGCAATGTTTGGTGTTTCGTGAGGTTCGGAGGCTCGGTCCTCGGCGCGTCGGCGCGTCGTAGAAAGAGAGATATTCGCATTGTTGAGCTCCTCCTGGCACTCAGAGACAGCCACACTGTTTCTGAGAGTACCCAGCGAGTACGATGTGGAGGTGGGAGTTCGTCGTCCGCCAGTATTCCACTCAACCTACGGACGCAGAAAACTGGTCATAATAGCACGCAGTCAAATGAGGATCCTTACCTCCTGCTTCATCTGCGTCTTTGTCAAGAACCATGATCGGGCCCGCAGCCGCGAGAGTCGGCATATCTCCAAAGTCATCTCTCTGATGCAAATCCTCCGTCCCTGGCAGTAACAGATTCTCTGGACTGTCATGGCTATCCAAAATAAAGCGCACCTTATCAAAATTTGCCGCACCACACGCGTCGAGCAGAAGACGAAACTTGGGCTTGAACCTCTTGACAATTACCGGGTGCGTAGTGTACACCCCTAGGAGGAGGTAAATGGCCTCAGGACTGCCCTGATAATTGACTCTCCTTTTTCTCTCGTACTATGAACGAGAGCAAAGGTTACCCCTAAAAACACGCTAAGCAGAACCAGGCTTGGGCGACCCCCCACTTTTCTTCTTGGCAAGACCATTTTTTGCGGAACACTCCCCCTGTTAGGGCGGAATATATTCTGGATAGGATAGGCTCTAAATGTTAGGAACGGTGTACTAGCGGGTCCTTGCTAAAGGATTAAGAATCAAAGTGAAGAGATCTAAGTCGTGGCTCTATTGTTAAACTAAACGTTGAGGATCTTAACTTTAATGTGTGCGGGGCAGTGTGTAAACACTGCGCGTGCGGTCATATATCTGGACTAACTGTGCAGGATCCCCGTGGAGTCTGGCAGCCAGCCACTAAGGGAGCCGTAACAATAAATGAGACTTTATTTACTATGGATAAATATCCTTCTCTGTACGCATATCGTTAACTAGTTATGACATCCTCTATTCAACAATCCATTCCCTTCTTCCCGCGCAGCCTACAAACTGGCCTTTCCTCTGGTCTCGTACGGGAAACAGAAGGACAGCAGGCCGGCCACAGCAAACATCGATGCTGAGACGAAGATGGGGGTATTGGTGTATCCGACATATGTCGCGATGATCGGAGCCTGTAGGCCACAGATAAGGTTGAAAGCAGACGCAAGTCCTGCGCCGGTACCACGATGCACCCAGGGAATGACCTCGGGTGTGTAGCAGTACAGGGCTCCCCACATACTGATATTCCATGGTTTAGTTAGTTCAGGAGCAGTGATAGATAAATGGATGCCATAAAGCCACAGAAGCCTTACATGTACTGCACAAAACTCGCGACGCAGTTGAAGGCTAAAATGGCCCCCGGTGTCCGCGGGGTGGTAAACGCAAATAGGAAGACCGCCATTAGGATCAACGATATTCCCAGCGTTCCGCGGCGACCAATAGTGGGAAAGGTAATGAGCCACCCGCCGAGGATGGTACCAGGAATACTACAAGCTACGACGATGAGGTTGTTCTGGTACGTGATGTTGATGCTGTTCGATCCACTCTCCGCGCCGTGCAAGGCCAGGTACTCGGGCAGGAAGTTGCTGTACAGAGGAGATCCCAAGCCAACCATACCCGAGATCAAAATGATCAGGGTCATACGGAGAGCCTGCTTCTTGGTTAAGAAAAGTGCCTTGACATGCTTCCACCCGCCTTCGACGCAGAAGTTGGCCATCATCCGCTGGAGGGAGGTCTTGCGCGTGATTTCCTCGCGGCCGTTGGTGGAGTTGCCAAACTCGGTCTCAATGCGATGGAAACCCTCCACTGTGACGGGCTGCGTGGTACCATTATACTTGGCCACCGCATTTAGTGTGTCGACCGCTTCTTGATACCTACCTTTTCCGACAAGGTACTTTGGTGACTCGTGGAGACGGAATAAGAGGAATCGGGCCAAGAATGCCACGAGTGTGACGGTACCCATTGTAAATAACAGATAACGCCATCCCATATTTTCAGAGCGGTGACATTGACCGGCTGGCGTATCTGAGGAACACGAGAAGTTAGGCAGAAATTCCCGAGCGACGCCTGCCGGGATGATTTGACCAAAGGACCACCACACCAACAAGCCTTCGAGGAGATATTGATGTGTTCCGGACAAGAACTCCAAGAAGGCGGTGCTATCAACAGGGACTATCGATGATGTGAGAGACCGCCACGACCAGAAATGGAGAGAGACATACGGTTTCCGCCCACACCAAAACAGACAAAAGCAAACATGACGCCCAAACCGGCAAAGTTGGGAGAAGCGCCAGATGCCAGGCCGAACACGGCTGCGATGATGAGAGTCATATTGAAGGCGAGATGTCGACCGATTAGGTCAGCTACAGGCTGTAATTTCACAGAACCACACCGCAATCTCAAGCGAGAAGAAAAGGAATACGCACATCCCAACCCCCAGAAGCTTGCTCCGCACACGATACCAGCGATGAGAGCCAAGGACAAAAACGCCGAATGCTTTTCATTGAACTCGAGAGAAGCCTGCGCCAGGGCATCCGATACGGCGGTCTGCCAGAGCTGATCGACAAGCCAGCCATAACCGCAAAGGCCGAACAATACTTTTTTTTTTTTTTTTTTTTTTTCAACGATCAGCAAATTAGCCCTCGTCATCACAGGTCACTCGTCAGCGTAGTTTCAGAAGACGGATTTTCGACCAGGGTGTTTTCCGCTGGCGGTAATGAGGAGCACATTGCTGAAATACTGGTGGGGTCAATCTGTCTCGCGCTTTGAGGTGTGCTGAAAAGTTAACGGTGTGTTCATGGGAGCTCAGTATCTAGAGAAACGAGGGCTAAGACGTTTCTCCCAGCCAAGTTTCGGTATGTAAGTCTGTAGTTCGCCTCATCGGCGATGGCTGGTAGTAGCAGGGTCCGGAACAGTTGCGGCGTACGCAACGTGTACAATGTGGCCTTGCATGATCGCAGCGCAACTTGGACCGTCGGCAAGGCTCACACGACGAGGGCCGGCCATTGCGACGAACTCTGTCGGTCATTTGGGGAGGTTATTAGGCTGGACTGCTAATAGCGCAAATATTTGAAGGCTTTGCATGCAGAAGTAGATCACAAACCGTTCATCTTCCTGTTGAGAATTAAATTTGGAAGCCTCCAAGTATACACATAGCATAACTGGCTTGGTCGAAGAGGAGATCCCTCCACGTTTCCACGTTAGCCTTTTATTTTTCGATCAAGGTTGGAGTTACATGTGCCATCGGAGTACTAGACTATATATGGCCTAGTACCCCGACATCACTTCTCGGACTCCCATTTATCGGCGTAGACTCCACCCAACGAGTTCTCTGAAGCCATATCTTACCGAGTAGGAGGTAGTGTTACTCCGCATCATTGGATGTTGCCTACTCAGCCGTATCTTACTATCCCGAATTCAATGCAGGGGTCGGACCTGGGATCCCAACCCGTCCGACCACACTGAAGTTTTCTGTCAGTGAGCATGCCTCAATGCCCCTCAGCCATTCTCTCCGCCCTTTCGATGCAAAATAAAAGCCACTGTATTGCAAAGCTGCCCCATGTATAACTATAAACCTTCTTTTCTATCTCGGGGAATTCATATGCATCTTACGCAGTCATCATACTATATATGTGCTTATGTGTTGAAATGGACTCGAAGATGTCGCCGGGTGTCGTCGTGGCCAAGACTGATGCACTTGGGATAGAGGTACAGCGTACCAGTGGTCTCGATGGGGCCGAGCAAACCTTCGATGATTCACAAAAAAAGACCAATACTGATGCAGAATCCGGATCTGTGTCTGCGCAAACCGAGAAGAAGCCGGAAAATTTCCACCGTCCTAAGGGGATCAGATTCGCCCTTTTGTTTACATGCATCCTCTTTGGAAGCTTTTTAATTGGCTATGTACGCCGATCTGTCGCAAAAGCATTTTTCCCAGGCTGATGGTCAGTTTCAGGATACCAGCTGTATCGCGACACTCACGCCAGTCATCACCGATCAGTTCCATGCTCTCAACGATATCGGGTGGTATCAAGTTGCATAGTTCGTTCTCCGAGGCAAGAGAGAAGACGAGGTTCCCAACTGACATCTTGCCAAAAGTCTGCTCGCGCAATCTGCAACCATTTTGGTTTATGGACAACTCTACTCGTTTTATTCGATGAAGACACTCTACATGTCGTCGCTATTTGTCTTCGCTATTGGCTCAGTACTATCCGCCGCAGCTCCAACATCCCCAGTATTCATCGTAGGACGTGTATTAAGCGGCTTGGGGGCGGCCGGCATATTATCCGGCACGAACATGTGAGCCCTTAAGCGATAAGCCTTGATCAGGGCGAGCTGCTTGATTGCTAACTCATTTGTCTCTAGCATTGTCGCACATACAACATCACTCAAGCACCGGCCTGTTTATTCTGCAATTGGTGGCGGTGTAGAATGCCTTGCGCTGGCCTTTGGACCCTTCATTAGTGGAAGTATAGCCCATTCCTCGACTTGGAAGGTCAGCTTCTATATCATCATCCCCCTAAGCGCGATCATATTTGTTATGGTATTCTTTAGCATCGGCCATATACGTCGATCCGAGAACGCACCGCTCGGCAGCAAAGATGGCAAGGATGGAAAAGATAGGCTGAGGCGCATAGACTGGGCAGGCTTCGCCATAAACGTGCCGATGACTCTGTGCTTGGTACTTGGCTTGGAGTGGGCGGGAACTAAATACTCCTGGGCCAATTGGCGAATCATCCTCCTGCTTGCAGTTTTTGTGGTCCTCCTTGCTCTGTTTCTGACCGTAGAGTACAGGGCTGGAGACGACATCATGGTCCCACTGAAGATGCTGCGTCAGCGCTCTGTGGCCTTTGCTAGCCTCATCACCTTTTGCAATTTTGCGCACCTTGCAGTGATTGCCTACTACGTAAGCCGCGATTCAACACCCATTTTACACAGATGCAGCACTGACTAATGACCAGTTACCTTTTTACTTCCAAGGAGTGCGTGGCGCAAGCACATTCGGATCTGGTCTCATGTACCTGCCTTTGGCCGTAGCATTGGCAGTGACCGCTCTCGCCAGCGGTCCTTTGACAAGTTTTATAGGCTACTACAATCCAGCCTTGATTATTGGGAGTGTTATCACGACTATGGGAAGCGGGCTGATAACTACACTCCGGCCTAATACCATTGCTGGGAAGTGGATCTCGTATCAAATCATCTATGGGATCGGCATCGGCCTAGCTTTCCAACCGCCCTATGTCGCCGTCCAGACCGTGCTTCATGATTCCATCGTGCCCAAAGCACTGGTTGTTTTGAGCTTCACACAACAACTCGGTGATATCCTTATCCTGTCCATTACGCAAAATGTGTTCCTTAACCGACTGGCTCACAATCTCGCCACAAACGTACCAGAATTAGACCCTGACGAGGTGCTAGGTAGTGGTGCGCTAGGCCTTGTTCATGCCATGCCTGCCAAACTACGAGACCAGGTTCTGGTCGCCTACAACGGGGCTCTTGTGGACGTTTTCTATATTGCCTTGGGTCTTACATGTCTGGTCGTAGCCAGCACACTTGGTATCGAATGGAGGTCTGTTAAGCAGGTGAAGAATCAATAGAGGCGTCACTTCATGCCAGATTTCTGTAGAAAGAGCATGTCTTGGCTAGCCACACCCTATTTGGTTGGCAACTTTTATGGCCAGGTTTGAATTGCAACGCGATTGTGATGTAAAGATTCGCGTTATTAAGAAGGCTTTAAACAATGTTAGACGCTCAAATGCACGCCATTTACTCAAAAATTACGAACTTACTTCACGCGGGTGTACTTTGTACCCAGCCATGACTCTAACTCTCTAGATGCGGGAGATCGATTACTGATGAAACGACGCTGCGGATTGACTGGCTCAAAAACGTCGCGTGCGCCTGGTCAAACCCCATCTCTTTCGCCCACTACTTACCAAGATTATAGAGCTTATTGATAGAGCTCATTGGTTGCAGTGTTTAGCGCCAGGCAGAAGCAAGAATCGTAATTACCAGCTATAGGGGGTCATCTGCAGAAGCTCGGTGGCACCCCATGAGGTACAAGTGTGACTATCAATGTTGCTGTTGACTGGAAAACCCGTTGATGATGACTATCGTCAGACTTTGCAATAGAGTACAGCCCAAATGATCTTTTTGCATCGCGAATTATAGGGACATAAAAGCGTCGATCCTTCCGTGGCCGTAAACAGTGCCTCGTTAACAGCTGCAACTCCGTCTTTTACACGGTTACAGGTCATTCAGGGCCTTGGGAACTTTGTCTGCAGCATACCTACAAACAATAGGTTAGCATCTCGGTGTTAGCTATAAAATATATCAGCAATCCAGACAGACTATCCTACAGGTACTAAATGTTGTTCTGTCAGCAGGCACTTCTCAACCAGCTCTCCCTACCATGAACTCGAACTCACAAAGTTCGGATAACGTCAAAATTGTGGTCTGTCTACTGCACTACACCTATATTATAGTATACTACAAAACCGGATGGATGGCGATCAGGATAGCTTAAATATGTTTGAATGGGGTGTGCAAGACCTGAACCCTTTCAGTAGGTAAGGGTAAGCTTGAAAAAGATCAAATCCATTTTCGTCATCGTGAGAATAGATTTATCAGTCAAAAGAGACTGCCGGTTACCCGTTCGCCGCGTCGATTTTGACAATTCAGGAGAGGTCGGAAGGGAGATTTGGGCCATCACGATCGGATGTAGGGATGTAGGGATCGGAGTCGGACCTAGTATTTATTTAAGATCGTATTAACGGCACTACATACTAGTCCTAATCGGGAACCAAAAAGCTACATTCGACACCTACAGAAACGCTGCTAAGCCTTTACGTATGTATATTACTATATATAAGGACTTCTCGTAGTTGCCTTTGGTGTCGGCTATAACTTGACCTTATAACCACGTGACTAAGGTACTTTTTATAGCCACAATAAAGATCAGCGTATAACTAGCAATGCACACTCTTTACTAATACATACCCTTCCTCTCTACCTCTATCGCCTTTATTATCCCTAGAGCAAGAAAGACGGTGAAATTGGCCTATATTATAGGATATTAGGTTCTGAATTAGGACTATATCTCTTTTTAAATCTCTATTGATTTAAGCGATTTAGATAAGTGTAAGGGCTAGGTTTATTAGTAGGGAAAGAAGGGTATTAGTAAAGACTGTGTATTGCTATAGAGTAATCTTTGTTTTCATTATAAGGGTGTGAGGGTATTCATGATTTTTCTGTCTTAGGTTTATGATGAACAATTGATGACAAATCGTAGACGCTCCGATCCCGGTTCTGAGCATAAAGGGAACTCACGGTCGGAGCAGAGATAAAACTTCCTTGATCATCTCGTCACCGTGCATGATTATCCGTGCCTTTCTGCCCACCCACCGCTTTCGCTTGTGGGTGCGCCCTAAATCCCCGTTATCCCGAAATCCCCGTCGCTTTTTGACCAGTAGCCTACTATTAGCCAATTCAACTACCTAATATGCCTAAATCTAGCGATTTTGATGAGTCTCGATTGGCCGAAGCCTGTATAGCGGTTTTATCCTAAAAAAAATCAAATATCGCAAAGATTGCGCGTGAATTCGACGTGAATCGTACTACCTTGAGCGATCGCGTTAAAAAGGCCCGGTCGCGCAAGAAACCTACTAAATCGTTGAAAAACGCCCTACAGCCACATTAGGAGAAGGCCCTAATCAATTGGATTGCCTAAATGTATAGCTGGAATCTTCTACCTACCGCAACGATTATCTAGGCGTAGGTAAATCGCGCTTTAACGCGAGCGGGCTAGTTAGATAGGCAGGTTAGCAAGAATTGGGTATATTACTTTATATTACGCCTACTAAAGTACCTTAAGCTAGCCCTGGTAAAGCAAAAGACTAAGGAATTGAAGCGAATCTAAGCGGAGGATGCAGGGTTTCTTTAGTATTGGTACGACTAGCTTACAATTGTCCTCTATAACGTTCCTGCCTGGCTAGTATACAACTTCGATAAATGCGGCTTTTAACCTGGTTAAGGTGTTACGCGTAGCCGACTGGTCACTGTGAGTAGAGCTTCAAAGGGTTATACGTGCCTAGTTCCACTGCGGATTCCAAGAGTGTCTCTCGATCGTACCGTTGCTTCGCGAAGCCTTACTGCGGAATAGATCCTGTCGAGTATCTTGCAGAACGTGCCAGAAGTACGCGCCAAGTAAGTCAGTCACTAAGTATTGCTACTAAGTGAGCTCCCCTACTTGTAGGTTAGGTTATCTTGAAGGTGAACTGTGAAGTGCAAAGTACTAAAGGTAGTAACCAAGTAACAATGTGTAATTGATCGCGAAGAACTAAATACATGATGCTGAATGAGTGTCCTTATATATCTAGTCCTTCGTATGGCTATAGATGCTGTAGTAGATGGGTCGTAGATCTATAGTAGATGATCTACCCGTCCTTTGGTGCCAAGACCCACCTAGTATCTACCGTTCGGGGATCACGTGTTGATTGTGCGTGCGGCTGTCCCTGGCGTCCTTCTAACCGTCCGAGCGTATAGGCGGGTATACGATGTCATAGTTAGGCACAGGCCGTTTGTGGCTCCCTGCCTGATTGTTTTACCCGTGGTCCTTGAGGAGATGCCTGGGTGTTAGGAGTTGTACGTGATGACGCTAATGCAATGCGTCTAGGGGCTGATTGGGTCTCGGTTGCCCCCTAACTAGCTGCGGCCTCCCCGCGCCTCGAGGTTCGTAATATTATCCCCCTTCCCTCTAGTCCTTTGTCCTTAAAGGATTTGCTTATAACCGCCCCTCCTCCTCAGGTAAGTGCGGCCCTGTATTTTTCTTGATTTTCTCCCGTTATGTCCTTTCACTATGCCTAAACGTAAGGCTGATCTATCTATTAATAGCGACCGCCGTAAGCTCCCTAAGGATTCTAACGCTAGCTATTAGAACTAAGAGACCTATATTCGTGACAACGGTTTCGCCCTATCGCTGAAGTGTTCCTTCTGTTTATTATCGGGCGACGAGTGCATAATAGACCGGACTCAACGTTATTCGAAATGTGCGATATGTACTCGCCGGGGATATCCGTGCCGGGCGGAGTTTTATACTAATAATAAGTGGGATTTGTTGCGCCGTGCTGAGCGCAAGGTTGCTGATGATTTGTCCGCTGCTAACGATAAGCTGGACTTATTAGAGCCTGAGTTGAAGCAGCTCCAGGAGCGATTAGCCGAGGTGCAGAGTAAAATGAAAAACACTCTGGCTCGCTATGCTCGTTTGCGAAAACAACAGAAGTTCTTAAAAGAGCGTAGTTTCAAGATGTTAGAATATGATGCTAAGTTGTTGCGGATTCTTGATAAAAAGACGTCGTCCCTAGAGCAGGCTGCTCCTTCTGCCCTTGAAATTCAGCAGTTAGCATCTACTGCTAAGAATCCGAACTTTAATCAGATGTTTCAGGAGATTGTCTAGTTGCCCCCTTCCTTCTAGGACGGCCTAGACGTCTCTAGGTTGAGCGGTAGTCCTTCTCTATCCGTTGATAGAACTATTAAACTAGCTAGTAGCAGCCTATCAGGTTCTCGATAGGTTCCTATATGCTTTCCGAGGTATTATATCCTCTCTATTTCACAAGATAGTAAGTCCTTCCGCTGACTTTGTTGACTCTTAAGATTTTCTCAACTTTATATTCGTTTTCTGTTTCTTCCTTAATTTCTATATCGGTAGTGTCAGCCTATGTGGCCATATGAAGTTGGTTGACCAGCGGCCCGCCGGCCAACGGCCCGGACCGGACCATCGTTTTTCCCGCAGAAGGACCCCTCTGCATATACCTCTTCAACAGAGAGTTTTACCATGGCTAATTAGCTACTAATCGACCACGGATTCTAACATCCAGCTCCTTCCTAATCTGTCAATTGGTTAGATCATCGATATATGATCGAATCATCGATTAGATCATTGATTTGGCCTATTTCCTGCTGCCTAAACTGCCTAATCGTGTACTTAAGCACCCTTCCACTCACTAGTTTAGTAGTTTAGATTCAATGCACTTTTCAATCTATCCTATTGATCTCGTTTGACCGTCATACCTAGAGAAGATCTTATGAATTCAAGGTCCATCCGTCTTATCTTAGTCCTATTCGCTAGAAGAACTTCTATCTTGACTAGCTATCCTAACGTCCTATATAGATCCTTTTTCATCGGATACACTAGGATCTATTAGTTATAAGCCCGATCGCTCTGACTAAATAGACTTCGAATTAACCGGACGGCTTCTTTCGGCCAAACCAGCTTAGCTACGCCCTCGACCGGTCGTATCCGTCTATTATCCTTGCTTTTTCACTTTTCATCGAACTATCGTTTACTTCCGTCTCACTCTTTATCATAGCTACAGAAGCTAATTGGTTGGTCTTTTATCTGAAGACCTCTACCGATTGGATTCAGTAGTATATAGCCGTGAAGGACTAAGCGGTTACGTGGGGTCTATAGGACTATATCAACCCTAAGGTGCTAGTTAAAAGCCTTAGGAAGCCCCCTTTAGAACCCGATTATCCCGAAATCGACCTAGCGGACCTTCCTAATCTAGCCGGCGAAGCGCTTACGAGATATAATCTGATC